CTGACTTTACCGATAATTTATTTTTTTATGACTGTAAAAGTATGAGCACTAGGTTATAATTATTTTATTATCAGTTTTGATTGATAATGATGCAATATTATTACGTATCCGCATAGTTATTAATAATCAGTTAACTACAGCTAGCGCCGCGTCAGTATAGTTCACGTTTTAGAGTATGTTACAATTTCAGTTATTTTTATCAGTGGTTTGACATAAAGCATACAAGAAACAGCCTCGGCTCCGCCTCCGCGTTTCTTGTGGTCCATGGCCATTTTATTTGAATTTGAATGAATATTTATTAGATTAACATCAGTCTATTCGTCGAAAGATGATCGGTACATCCAATAGGGCAAACACGAATTTTCTATGAAAATCAGTTCATGATTCTCTCAACCGTGAAAGCATTCCCTTTCGCTGTACATACAGATAATTCTACGATATCCCCTCCCGAAAAGAAAGCCGAAATAACAGTCAATAAGGTGTGAAATCCGAAACAGTGATAGTGCACTGGATCACTAGTTCGGTAAATCATCACTTCACTGGCTCTTTTCACTGGAAGTTGGTGTGTGCCCAGTGGTGTATGTCCGGTCAAATGTGGTGGCTCAATTACTTGCTTAGCTAACCGGTTCCGTTCGCTGAACAGTAGTGGTAGCTCGGTCACTCATGTACACTGTACAATAATGACAGCTTGGTCACTCGTTTACCTACCGGGCTCTCTGCACCGGGCAGTAGTGGTAACTCGGTCACTCGTTCCTTAACCTGCTTTGTACACTGGACAGTAGTGACAGCTCGGTCACTCGCTCACCTACCGGCTCTGTGCACGGACGGCACGGACGGTAGTAGTAGCTCAGCCATTCGTTCTCCAACGGGATTTCTGCGCCGGATAGTAGTGAAAGCTCGGTCACTCGTTTTATCTCGGCTTCGCTTCCGCGTTTCTTGAGGTCTACAACCGGTCTGTTCGAATTTCTATTTTAAATCGTTTTTATTCGTATCTTTTGGCTCTGTCAACTGGACTGTAGTGGTGGACTGGTGGGGCTTTCTGCGCCGGACAGTAGTGGTTGCTCGGTCACTCGCAAATCTAACGGACTTTGTACACTGGACAGTAGTAGCAGCTCAGTCACCCGCTTTCCTTCCGGGATCTGTGCACGGACAATAGTGGCAGCTCAGCACTCCATCACCGCACGGGCTTTTTGCGCCGAACAGCAGTGGTAGCGCGGTCACCCGCTGTCCTAGCGGACTTTCTGCGCCTGACATTAGTGACAGCGCGGTCACCCGCTCAACTTCCGGGATCTGTGCACGGACAGTAGTGGCAGCTCAGCACTCCTTCACCAAACGGGCTTTTTGCGCCGGACAGCATTGGTAGCCCGGTCACCCGCTGCGCTAACGGACTTTCTGCGCCGGACATTAGTGACAGCGCGGTCACCCGCTCTCCTTCCGGGCTCTGTGCACCGGGCAGTAGTGATAACTCGGTCACTCGTTCCCTAACGGGCTTTTTACACTGAAAAGTAGTGACAGCTCGGTCACTCGGCATCGGACAGTAATGACAGCTCGGTCAACCGCTCACATAGCTATCCATAGTGGCACTTCGGTCACTCACTGGCTTAGCGGGCTATTTTAACTAGAATGTAGTGGTATTTCGGTAAACTAACGGGCTTGTGCACTGAACAGTGGCGGTAGTTCTGCCTATCGCTGCTTGGCAGGCACTTGTTTAGAAATTGTCCTCGATGACAACGTTGGATATGTAGTCGTTCTTGTCGCAATAACGCCAACGGTCTCCTAATTAAACTGATTCTGATATTTTAATTAGTGGAAAATGCTTTCATTTTTAACTATATTTTATTTGGTTTACGTGGCAACATTGCCTGGTTAAAAATGCCACGATGATAATTATTATTATAATAATTTAGTTACATTTGGTGAAGGTAGTCAAAACTCTTCCGCTGTGGCGCTCGAAGCGGGAGAGGTTTTAAAAAAATGAATACTATCTGGCCGGGTTTTCGACTACGGGCTTTCAGAATTTAATATTGGTTTTAGTCAGTCTTTTCTGGTTTGCCGGCTCTGGTGTATCCCATTCGTGGCAATATAGATCTGAATCTTGATATCTGTACAGTGCACTGTACAGATATATGCTTTGCACACATTTTTCAGCCAAATATGTTTGTAGATGCAATTTTGGGTACAATCATTGAGTTTGTCCACCTTCGAGAAGTATAACGTTATACACCATGAATTGTTTGTCAACTCCTGAGTCGGTTCACTGGAGGGTGGGAATCATACAAATTTTAAATAGAATTGCTGTGTTAGGTGTAATGTGCGAATAGTTTTGCATGCTATAGTACGGTACTATGCTGCACTAAAAATAACTGAAAATAACTGGGAAAATCAACGGAATATGTAAATGTTAGTAAAACGGGTCTAAACGTTCATATTTCCAGTTGATCTCATAAAATTAGATCAAATTTGTTTTGGATTTGACAGAAGTGTTTAATTACTTTAACACTGGCGTTGACTTACGGCAGCCATCACAAGTTAAACCATCAAATGAGTGTGCGGAGAAAACTGAAGACTCATTTTTTCACCAATTAACCACACCTGATTAACCAAATAAATTATCAGGCAGCTTTATGGTTAACCGCGAGCAAGGTGGACAGTGTATGCCGCAAGCCTTGCGGCGCAAGGCATATAATCTACTCGGCCCGTTTCCCTGTACTGCTGCCGTCACCTGCATGGAGTATGACGTTACGGCATTACATACGGTTAAATCAGGTGCGGTACATAAGCACCATGTATAGCCACAACGTAAAACACCAGCCGGCTGACATCAGTCAGAAGTCTATTTCAGATTGCACGGTTTGTGTTAGTTTCGGCTCCGGTTCCATGTGGAACCTTCGGTTCCGGATTGTTTTACGTCCGTTCGCGACGTTAGAAGCTGTAACCTAGCGTCGTGCGGTGACGCGTAAAAACTATCTGCCTTACGCGGATGCTTGCAACGGCTCAGACACATGAGTGAATGGCAGGCCAGCGTATGCTGCCCGTGGATCTTTTTTTAGCACTCAGACCGCCGACCGTTAGCAGGGAGGTCACGTCCTCGCTCGCACTCAACTCGATTATAGTAATTTTTTCGTTGCTGTACGTGACCAAAGTGTAACCGCACAAAGATCTGAAGCAGTTCTCATCCTGCCAACGTACTGCTTATCTGACGCCGTGCGAGTCTATGTACGGAGCCTCTACCATATGGAATCTGAAATAGGCTAGTAGTACGAGCGACTGGTTCGACTAGACTTGTTCTTCCCCCTATATTTCAGCGGCTTGCCTTCTACTCGTCTATCTGTGAGTGCCTCGTCAGCCGCGATTGTATTACGCGCCTTGCGATTCTGTTTTATGGAGTTACTTTGCTCAGAATGCAATGTGACCTTTTGAAATTGTTTATGCCGGCGATTACTTAAGAACTTCGTGCATGACCAATAATGCGAACAACACTATACATGTCAAACTGACGATTTACCGGCAAGATTTTTTGAAAATTATGTAGTTGACTAAAAACTTATTAATTGCCACATTTTATGCGGCATCTGCCAGATTTTATCGCATGCCAGCTGCCAGAGTCTCCAGGTTTTATTGCTCGCCATGCCATTGGCAGTGCCACTGGCAGGTGCCAATGCCACGTTTTACCCCCTGCCCGCGACCAAATGTTCCGCGGCAAGGTTCGCACACCCAACCGAAGCTAGCGCAATCGAAGAACAAATCAAAACAGAAACCGGAGTGTACCCGTTAGCGAAATTAAAATTTTTTGCCTTGATAAGGCAATCTGACAAAATGCTTTGGGACCTTACAGACGGCTGAACACCATTAATCAGCGCTTCGCGATATGAAACATGCATAAACGGATACGATAACTTCCCGATGCCGATCCTCACAAGGATCACCCGGGCGAGTCTCACACAGAATACCCTGTGCGAGACTTGCCCGGGTGATCTTACACAGCGATTTTGTCACAGCGATTTTGTCAAAATCGCTAAACCGGTACGGAAGCCGCTGAAAACGCGCAAAACGCGGCCAGGAGGAATGCGAGAAACGGCAAATTTCATTTGAACAGTTTATGCCCAAGTCCGGCCTGAGCACCGACCGTCCCCTAACGTAGTTAACTACAGGGTGTAGTTTCGTAGGGCGCAAAACGTAATAAAAAACTTGAGAACTAAGCCTGCCGCCCGCTGATAATTACCGTTTTTTTGACCGCTTAACCAAACAGAAGCCCGAATTTTGCACCCTGCCGAGCCAATAACCGCGACTATCGTAGCCGGCTTCCTTGTACGGTCCGTATTCTTACGCAGCGCGACAGACTCGCACATTTTGGAAACCTGAGGGTTCGACCAAGTCCATTGGGCCGATCACCAATCTACCGACAACGCTACCGGTCTGGAAGTCAAAAACGCTTCACTCATAATCCCTTCAAATTTCAGTGTTCATATTACCAGCTCGAGAGCATTTTATCTGACCGACGTAAAACACACAAAGAAAAATTCGCAGTAGCCGTTCATTAGCCGATAAATGATACAATCACTATTAATTTTCGAAATTTTTCTAATCGATTGGTATAAGAGTAGCACAAACAACTGCAACCAGTGTTATACCGCTACCGGTAGATTATCAGCAGTTATGCAAACATTTAACTATCTCCATACGAGCTTTCCATACGAAATATCGATGAGAAAAGCACGGCGCAAGTTCAAGGCCCTGAACTTGGCAATGGCATTAAAACAATTACTTTTGCATAAATCCAATTACGAGTGCACGAACGCATAATCGGCATTCGATCAGCACCGGCATACGCACTGAGATTGTCAACCGCGCCGCTATATTATAGCGGCGTGGTAAGGAAACGAACACTCGGTTATAATAGCCAGGCGAACGGACGCGGCCCGGCAATAACCAGTTAACGACAACACCCGGCGCAGCTGATTCATTTAAAACGCTACGTTGCACATGATCACATCACAGTCAGCGGTACATTCACATTCTTACAACCCAGTTGTTTTTTGGTCCCACAAGCCGGTAAAGAATGAAGTGTCTGATTGTGTTGGCCGTTGTGCTAGGCGTCTCCACCGCCGGTGTGGTTAAGCGGCAGGCCCAGAGTCCGGGTGTGTTCAGCGCGTTGGATCTCCTGCGCGGCAAGAGCAAGCTGAGCAACGACGATATCCGCAATATGGTGCTGAATGCGCAGGCCGGTCAAGACTATCCTAATTTGTCCAGCATTCCTGACTCCACCTTTGACTGCAGCGCCCACAAACCCGGATTCTACGCTGACGTCTCCCAGCGCTGTCAAGGTAAAGCTACATTTCAGTATCCAAATAAGTTATGTAATACTAGTAATATGCGTTATACAATTATGCGTTATACAATGCTCTTATCTTTTTACTACGGTATATTAAAATATAAAGACAGTTGATGAAATAATATATTTTCAAAATATTTACTTTATTTTGCCTTACGTATTTAAAGGGGCATATATTTAATTTTGTCGATATTATTTTCTTCTTTTCTCGTATGGGCTATAAAAATAGTCCACCAGATCAGTACGATTGACCACCACTCATCAGCATTGAATCACTTGTCACGTGTAAGCCAGGCCTTTTTTGCCATGCTTCCGAATTCCGTTTACTAATAAATTGTTGCGAGTATATTGGCGCTAAAAAGTAAAATTTTTACATAACTGAGCACCCTTGCAGTTGTCCGCCGCTGCGATGTCAACGGCAACCAGACTTCTTTCCTGTGCCCCAACATGACCGTACGTCCACCGAATACCCACCCTGCCTTGTTAACACGTTGACTACAAATTTGCATTATGTCATCGTACAGGTCTTCAACCAGATCACCCTGGTGTGCCACTGGTTCTGGGATGTTGACTGCAGCAAATCCGAGACATTCTACGATTACTCCAACAGCCGTCTGTACCAGGAGAACGCTGTCCTGTTGGACGACGAGACCACCTACGAGGAGACGGCCGCTGCCATTTCCGCTTCCCCGAAAGCCGTCGCCGCCCCTAAGGCCGCTGCCCGTAAAGCTGCTGCTCCGAAAGCGGCCGCCCCTAAAACAGCGTCCAAGGCTGGCTCTAAGGGCTTCACGCAATGAAACACTGAATCAGCGGGAACATCGGGATTAGCGGGATTACGGGGTAATCGTAACCACGCCAACATCGCGGTTTTTTACCGACTCTCGTCAAACATTGCAATTACAACTTCTTAGTCATATTCTTGCTAAAGAATGACTTGTGTGTAGCGGAATAAGTGCCTATGTATAAATCATGTGTTGTACAATTAAAATTGGTGGTACAGTGCTTTCTTCGTTCGTTATGTCTGTGTCAGTTAATTGCAAAGACGGACCTTTCATCATACAATTATTACCATGCATGTGATTGTTATGAATTTTCCCTTACGGCGAATGGGTCATAATCATTAAGAAATGGTTCATTGCATTAAGAATGATAATGCAATGATAATGCGGATTCCAGTGTGCGCGGCTATGGCATCCTGGCTATGGCTATGGCGCCGCGGGTTACTTGTACGTACATCCCTATGCTCCATACATCACAAAGGCATTTGCACCTCAATACACAGCAAAAGGATGGCACAAAAGTGATGATACACGGAATGTCTGGTCATGTCGGTCATGCGCTAGTTGGTTGTAACAACGGGCATCATTAGACGAATGCTCGTTCCGACTGATTACCGGTGCACCTTAGGGAGAATCAAACCGCTACAGAGTTGGCAATTGTGGAATATGGAATACCACTGCGCAAATCCTTTGCCAGACTTAATTGCATGCCATCACATTCCGTGATGGTGCATTTCGACGTTTCCTGTTACCCGGCATTTATATTTCTGGATTGCCGTTTTGCGGTTGCTCAGGACGTCATTGTGAGCTGAACATCAACTTTTGAATAACGAATGCGGGTTCTAGCTCGAAGCGCATTTGCTCCGAAGCAGCGTTTCAGGTTGCCGAGGGAAATTACTACAGGAGAAAAAATATGCATCTTTTGTCGATTATCATTGCTCGCTACCGAATGTGGCTGTAGCCTGTAAGTACCGGAAATACGACAGAGCCTTTTCTTCTCTTTGCTCCCCAGGGCGCCAGCCGTGACGTCCCACAGGAAATCCGCATTGCAACTCTTGGACCGCAGAATATTCTTCCTGTGTTTTCATTTCTTGAAAACCAGACGCCAGTTCGGAAAATGAATAATTCAACTCGCGCAGACGATTGGAAAACTGCTGATGTACTGTCACCCTACTCCGCTACCGTCATTGTGGCCAGCGTATATTCCTTAATTCTCCTGCTAATCATCATCTTCAACATACTGGCGTTGTGGTCGTTGTACAGAGCCAAAACCGAGCACTCCACTTCCTTCAGCGTTTATTTAGCTCATCTGTTCGTGATGAATATATTAGCCAGTATAACTGTTGTCCCATTGGACGTGGTGGACACTCTGCTCAACAATAACCTAACGGCGAATCAGTGCGCGTTTGCTATATTCTCGAACCGGGGACTCTTCGCCATTGTCGTTAATTCCCATCTGCTGATCACCATCAACCGATTGTGGGCGGTACTGTGGCCGCATAATTACCGCGAAGTACACACCGTCCGTTTCGCCGGCCTGTCGTGTCTGATTTTATGGCTGTACGTGTTTGTGTGGGTTCTGCCGGCTTTCACGTACCGCGTCAGTCACACCACTGATTACCCCTGTCACTTGGATATCATGGACTTCCCGGTTAATTAGCAGATGTCGGTGTCCGTGTGGCAAACCACAACATTCGTCGTGATATTCTTTGTCCCCGTGGTAATCGTTATCGCTGTGTATCCTATCATTGAACACAAACGTCGTCGTGGCGTGTTTGTGCGTGTTGCACCAGCAATCAAGACTCCTCAGCACAGCAGCAGGAGCAGCCGGCCTCCTGCCGGGCACAACCCGGATCCGCGGACATTTCGCATACTAATGGCACTGACGTCTAGTTTGCTGATTTCCTGGATGCCGCAGCTATGCTGGGATTTGGTACAATATCGCGTGCAGTACCGAATGGATCCCTCGATATACGCTTTGGTAGACCTAATTCTTGCTTTGTTTTGGACTGCTCAAGCGGTAATCGATCCGATCTTGTTTATTTTTTTGTCTTTCGCGTACGGCTGGTTTCGCATACGGCATGAATGTTTTTTCTATATTCGCGGATGCTATTAATTTTTTCTGATGATGCCAACAGAAGGCTGTTGCAATTAACAGGGAAAAACAGTTTAGAAAAGATAAATGCCTCATTTTGACGAAAAATATCTGCACAAGCTGCGACGTGCATATAAACCCGGTTCAGCTGACGTTCTTAATTTCAGCATGTAGCAGGCAGTGCGGAAAGCATTACAACTTTGGCTGCTACAGCATCTTAAGTCGAACTGCTTATCAGCGCTTTGAAAAAGCATCTAGCTGTGCATTCTAAAAAAAGGTGCAACATTTCCATGCTGGTATGATTGAGATTATTAGATTTAGAAATCGCCGAATTGCAGCTGTAATTTTTTATTGATTTTACCGTTCCGTACGTAAGGTGAAAATTGAAAATTTATTAACGCTTATTTCTAGGGTGAAATTGGAAAATTCCTGGTATCCTACAAATGGGCTTGCAGTCACGCTGCGCGCATTACATGCTGGTTGGAAAAGAGTGGAAAATGGAAAGCTTGTTAAAGAATTACAGTACTTCCGCTTTAAGATGAGTTCCATGCTCCTATTTTCGGTTACTAGCGGTTAGTTGTGACTCCCGCCAGGCGTCCCTACTTGTGTTACATGAACTTAATGTCCTCTCCCGGTACAAGCCAGTCGCTGTGTCTAGTGTCTAGATCTTGCGAACCGGTTTAGCTTGGCGGCTGTTTACCGATAGTGGCATATTTAAGCTTATGCGCCAGAACATTTGAAAGTGGCTGAGTACTACACCAGGTGTATTCAACAAGGCTAAACAGATTAGACTGCTTTAGCGTAATTACATAAATAAGGATAGCTGCTAAATAGTAAATAAAAACTTTAGATGCAACGTAATAGAGAAAAAAAGTTTAATTTTCGTTTCTCTTCGTGTACATAATGCGCATTTTAACATTTTTTTCTTTGTTGAACAAAACTCAAATGACGGTCCTTAAAGGCTAAAGCGTTCGGGCCTTAAAGCGCCCTAACGCGGAAGACGAAGATAAACAAAATGGGATCGATCACCGCTTGCGCAGTCCAGAACAAATTAAGAATCAAATCCACCAGAGCATAGACCGATGGATCCATTTGGTACTGCACTTGATACTGTACTAAATCCCAGCATAACTGCGGCATCCAAGAGAAAAGCAGACTGCACGTCAGCGTCATCAGTATACGGAATGTCCGGGGATCCGGGTTGTGTCCGGCACGCCGGCGGCTGCTACCACCGCTGTGCTGCTGAGAATCGACCTTGGGCGCTGGTCTAACGCGCAAGAACATGGCACGACGACGCTTGTACTCAATGATAGGATACACGGCAATAACAACGGCTACGGGAACAAAGAACGTCACAACGAACGTTGCACCTTCCCACACCGACACTGACGTCTGCTGGTTGAGTGGGAAATCCATGAGATCCAAGCGACACCGGTAATCATCGGTGTGACTGATGCGGTGTGTGAACACCGGCAGAATCCATACAAACACATACAACCACAAAATTAGACACGACAGACCGGCAAAACGGATGGAGTGCACTTCGCGGTAATTATGCGGCCACAGCACCGCCCACAAGCGGTTGATGGTAATCAGAAGATGCGAGTTAACGACAACGGCGAAGAGCGCCCAGTTAGCGAATGTCGCGAATGCGCACTGTGATATCGTTAGGTTGTCGCTAAGAAGAGTGTCCACAACGTCCAATGGAACCACGGTGACACTGGCCAGCACGTTCATCACGAAGAGATGGGCTAAATACACACTGAAGGAAGTAGAATGCTCAGTTTTGGCTTTGTATAACGACCACAATGCTTGAATATTGAAAACAATAATTAACAGCAGAATTAACGAATATACGCTAGCCACGATGATGGTAGCCGTGTAGGTCGACAGAAAATCCGTAGTGTCCCATTCGTCTGCGCGTGTTGAATTATTCATCGCACTCGGAAAAATATTGATCGCATGAAAAACTTTTGAAAGAAAGTAGGGAAAATTAATAATTAGGAGGCACTCGTATTATTAGTATATTCGTACAATTCTACCGGTATTACAGTAATATATGTGCTGCTGGAAAAACGCTGTGAGATGACCTTTCTGTAGAACATAAAAGCCTCCCCCCGGCGAGCATTGCAGCGTCAGTATAATTGTCCTACTTCCGGTAGATTCCTGCCTCATTACACCCTCGTTCTTCGCAACTGGAATCTGTGCAGGTGATTATGACGCTTTGAGTTACTCGTACAAGTGGGAGTCGATTGTACTGTATTTTGCAGGCCTACCGTGCAAGACAGTGTTTAGAGGTGCCAAGATGGTATAAAAATAAATCCATTAGCAAAATTTTTCCCTTCAGGAGCAATGAACCATTCTCAGTCTGCAAAATACAGAATGTTTGAAACAGGCGCAGTATGTCCTGTGTATGCAGGATTCCATAATCATTTTTAAATGATAGACAACAAAATGTTCAGCCCATTCCCAGCACACACTGTCATGACCATATAAAGAAAAGGAATTCCAATAGACAGAAAGGTATCGCTATTGACAAAGCGTTACGACAAGGTAACGTAATAACGCTCTCAGGGTTCGGAAATGGCTAGTACACTTGTATCAGGGCGCTAATGTAATAGTCACTGTGATAGGGCGCTAATGTAATAGTCACTGTGATGATTTGACGTTCCCCCAGTTTGCACAATGATCTGGGTTAAAAGTGATGGATGCTTCTTGCCAAAGTGACTCTGCGAACAGACGCACAGCGTGTCAGCTGATTATATAGCGTCACGGACGCACCGTATATCGCATACTGCTATTCAGACACGAGGCGACATTACATACTTCATCAAGATCATTTGCGCTCAGATGCGGTGCAGTGGAATCTGAGCACTGTTACCGGAAGCGCGTTGCGATGACCGTACAATTAGCAACAAAATAATGGATCTTACCCAAATAATATGCGGTTCCGGTCGTCAAAAATCTCAAGTTACTTACTGTGGTGCTTACTGCTACATGGAGTTGCTTCTCTTTCATTCTAATTAACGTATGTATTCCGTACATTTCACCTGTACAGATGCACATGATTCCATAATTATCGGGACCGATTCGATGTACAGAAGCATTATTATGTGTTTGAGAATTGGTGATGACTTAATGCAGCAGTAGCTGCAATTTAGGGGCGTTATTTCCTGTCAGACGGCAAAATAAATTCAGTGCATCGGCCGTCTTGGACACGGTCTACCTTCCGTTTGCCAGACTTTGCCTTCCATTTGCTTTTGCTTTTTTTGCCAGTTTGCTTTTTTTAATTTACCGTCATATTTGCTTTCGTCCCCGCCAAAACCTAATCCATTCACGTAACCCTCAGAACACCGTCCTGCAGTAATATCACAGTATTGCACCTTGCTGCTTTATTGTCAAAACGAATGTCTAGAAAATGATTGGTGTCCAGCTGCGCAAAATGCAGCCAACATAGTTATTTCAGCAGAGAGTGGAGTGTTTTGAGTGTTTTGAGCAGAGAGCGGACTGAAAATGAAGAGTGGAGTGTTTTGAAAAAAAAGAACTTCGACTCCTCAAACTAGGCGAGCCGGAAAAGTTAAAAATCAGCATTTAATTTTATGACCTCCGATGCTGCATTACATTATGAAGCGCAGTGCGTCGACTTGGACGTGGCTGCACAGACAAACCATATGTGCATGTGCCTTGTGCTTGTTACCGCCTTCACTGGTATTTCTTTCATGATCCATCCTCTAACTTTCTTCAAACAGACCCACTCTCGGAAACCGATGAACACAATATCAGCAAAAGTGCAAAACCAAAAAAAAAAGTTTTTTTTAATCGTTGACGTTAATGCAGGGTATAATGTCCGTATGCTAAGTAAGATACGTAGCTGTGACACTGAGGGCGACCTAGTTTTCTGTTGCAAACTTGCGAAGTGTTTCTGAGGTACTGCATCTGTTTACAGTACTAATATAACAAACTTCTGTAGTCGGCACACCTAACCCTTAATGGCCTGACATCATCAAACTATTCGTCGCGATTGAAAACGGGACGCACAGTCGCACACGCTCCGAACCAAAATTTTGTATTTTTCTTCCCTGATATGCTACTCGTATGTGGGTATGCAACCTTAATATTGACAATTTTTGCAAAATTCAATAAACAAAGGATCCAGAAAAACATATGAATCGGTATGGTTTAAGTTTTGCCGGAAGTAAGACAAACTTTCAGTACAAAGAACTCGACAGAGTTTGTGAATACGAAAACAGCACATACGCAGCGTGGGTACGCCAATGCATTTGCATGATCCATGCACACGCTGCCCGTAGTGCTGTTTTGCCGTACACAAACTCTGTGGTCTAACGTGTGAAGGCCGCTACAGTACTAGTACTCTTATAGCAGCTTATGAACGTTCTCATAATGTTCTCATTGAGACCTTTACCGCAGTGGTGCTCTATATCTGACCTGTGTCGATCCACAACCAGTGTATGAATGAACAGGTCGATATATCAAATGGCCGGTGGCCTTTATTTTGGTGTCTGTCAGGGTGTGTGTGCTGTGGAGGCTTCTGCTGCGTGAAGACGTTACTAACCGGCGCAATATCGTCGTGGAGATAAGCAAAACGCCCTTACAATATGATACCCTCAGAGAAATTGCCAGTGAGGTCCATAAAAACCTGGCATGCCTGCGGCTGATAGCCACGCTGGACCGTACCGTGTCGCAGCAGACAAGGACAATGGCGATTATTGAAGAGAATCCAGGGCGTGAGCAACGTTGGTGGCAGTGCGCAGAAAGAATGCAGATCCCGGGGCAAACACTGCAGGCCAAAGGTATTTGCGTGCCACTACTTATAGTTAAGAACGCATGTGATCCCAAAAAGGATGCCAGCTTCACACTTTTGAGACTGCATGGCCGTATTGGAGAGGATTACGTGTGCCATACGCTGTCCAGTTGATGGCCGTATGCGAGGAGCTACTGCTTGTCAACTACACGGTGAGGATCCTTTCCGGTCGAAAATCGCGCATAACGATGCTGGTTCTCCATGCTGAATTTCATTGGCCGGAAGATCCAGATGGTGGCTCATGGAAGCCTTATGGTCGGAAGACGCCCCATCTCCTGGCGGTGCGTCTGTGTTGGATATTGTCCTTCCGTTTTCCGTTTTTGCGTATTTGCTCCACAGAGACAGCCTCGGAGCAGCGGTGGCGGTTCCTCTGCGCCGTCAATGACCGTTGTCCGGCGGTTAGTCAGCGGGCCTACAGAAAGATCTACACACGGCGAAAAGGAAAACGCGGGAGCACACATCCGCCAGCTAACATTAACATCAATTAACGTTGTTAATTGTCATTTAATGTTACCGCTTCCGGAATCCACTGGGGGTGCTGGAACCCCGGCTGCTGGGCGGCTGGTACTCTCGTGATCGGCTGTGTGCGGTGACGCTGTGTCAGCGAGAAGCCGGCCGACCGGGGGTCGGCGCAAGAGAGCGACCAGTGCCCTGCGCAACCGAAGGCCCCAAACAAACCCCAAACAACATCCATGATTAGACGTCTGGATTGATTTCTTCTGTCGGTACTTGGCTCCGGAAATAGATGGTAACACAGTTGCTTTTCCAACGTCCCGAACGTTGGATTTCGCTGTCGCTGGACCCACCGGTAGCGGCTGTTGTCGTGCCCCAGATGCAAAGCGGTGGGTTTCGTGACGGTGGTGGCCAGGTAGGAGGCGCAGCAGATGACCCAGCGTACGGCCGTGCATGCCCGCTGGGTGCGGGAGTTTTCTTACCCCAGTCGTTGGACGGCCATCCGCATATTTCTTAACTTGTAAGTAGAATCACACCACGACACAGTTTCTGCAGGATTTGCGGTGATTATCATGGACAATGCAACAACGTTCTTTGGCTTTTCAGGTTCAGTAGCTTCCGCTCGGATGACGGTCCACAGCCGTGGGATAAGGTGGATCTGCGACAGCTGGACATTACTAGACTGAGTAGGCTGGCCATGGTTATGCTTGACGGATATTACGACGATGAGCACATCCCAGTTTAATCTCACATCGAACATATGGAAGTAATCTGTACTCAATTTTTATTGCATGAATAAGTGGAAAAACGTTTGAGCTGTTTTATTGTAGTTGCTGTCTTATCGTTCCAGTATGCAGTCGTCTTGGTCGCTATGTTTATTACAGCATGTGCACGATTCGGTTACTCCTTACAAATAAGTAGGTGAAAGCGTGATTAACAGTTCGACCTTCATCCCGCGATTTAATAATTGCTGCTTGATGCACGGCTATAATAAATTTTTATATTTCAGCTTGAATAAGCTATATTATTATCCTGACATTGCTTTACTTAAGTTTGGATCTATTATCGTTAGAACGAAAATAAACTGCAGTATCTTTCCGATTTTCGCCACGGTCGAAAGTGATGCGGTACGAAGTTTGCGCGTGGTATAAATCGCAAAATCGACTATATATTAATTGTTTAACCGACAATACTGACGCTTGTTCCGATTCACAGTAATAAATGCTGCTAATCCGCCTAATCGGTTTTGGTCTGGCACTGCACGCACCCAGCCAGGACACTTTCCTAGCAAATTCACAGAGGTGCTATTTGTACACCTCACGATTCCGGAAAACTATGGACAAAAAATATATGATGAACTAATGTACAGTACGTACTACTGGTTACTAATACTACTAATAATGCCCATATTTGTCATTAAGCAGCAATAATAGCATAATATTACATGCATATGGTGGTTGCGCTTATTTCCGTCGCAGAGAAACTGTTTAATTCAAGATTTCTTTCAAAAGCGGAACAATAGTAAGCCAACGGCTGATAATTAATTAAGTGAATCATTCTAAAATGATCTCCAATTTCTAATCTCATAGAAACACTATATATGACAAACATTTTCACAAAGAGCAATGTGGGCGGAAAAGGGTAATTTCCAGAATGTACTGGT